AACCAGGTGTGTTTGTTCCTGATTGCTTCGTCCTATCATTGTAGCAGGCAGCAGCTGTCAGCTAATTAGCTGATTAAGCAGCAGAGGAGGCACAGGCCATAAATCACTACCAGGAGGGCTGTAGGTTTTGGCTGTGTGACCATGCTCCCCATATGGAATCACAGGGTGTGCATCAGGTACTGCCTGAGAGGTGTGTGGGGGCTGTGGCAGGACCAGGGGCGTGAAGAACAGCAGGTCAGGTCTGCAGCAGGGTGCTGGGGTGAGTGCTTCCTCCTATGGGGGGGCAGAGAGGCTAGGAGGGCCTGGGACTTGGGGAGCTTAGGGCTTGGGATTGCAGTGATGCAGGTTGTGGTGATGCTTGGCGCAGGGATGCTCCCTGCAGTACTGCTGCCTCCAGCACTGCAGCTATCATTGGGCTCTCCTACGCATTCCCCTGCACTAGAGTTAATTAAAAGCAGTTAATTACAATTGCTTTCTGCCCTGTGCCACAGGAGACAAGCACCACTCTTGCCATATGGCATGGGCTGCTTCTTGGGTATGCTTTCTCCCCTTTCCCTTTAATTAAGGATGCTGTCAGCTCTGAGTGTCCCTGGGATGTGGCCGAGCACTCTAGGTCCCACTGTGGCCCTCACCCCAACCATAAAGCAGAAATAAATTGCGTATTCCTTTTGGTCCTGCTCAGCCCTGAGTGCACTGTCAGCATTTACTCTTTAGAGGAAATAATGAAACTCAAAGCGACCGTGAGACACTCAGGGGAGGCATCGGCTGACCTTGGGCACAAAGAGGGGCTGTGCCTGGGGTCTGTGCAGAGTGGGTTTGTTGCTGTGCCGTGCTGAGCACTCCTCACACCTGGCTGGTTTCACCTGAAAGGGTTTTTGTGAGCTTGGGTGAGGGGAGCTTCAATGAGCAGGGTTTATAATTGGCTGCCCTGTGCACCCCTGAGTTAATTGGGACAGGGCATCACAGGGAAGGACGTTTTTTGAGCGAGAAATGATATGGTGTTACTTAACAAGCTGTCTATAGCAGAGATGGGGAAGGAGCTTGCATGCAGCTACTGCAGAGAGGGGACCTTCTTGAAGGAGTAATGGAGTGGAAATGAGAAGATAAAGCACTCAGGCTAAGTGCTGTGGAAGGATGCTGAGAGCCACCGGGGCAAACCCAGCCCCTGGGAGCAGGGAGAGCACTGAGCTGCAGCACCCATCGCTGCCCACAGCAGCCTTCTGCTCCTTTCTCCCTTTTCTTTTTTCCCTGCCGTGAGGTTTGCTCTGGGTTTCCTAAGGCACTGCATGCTATTTGCTCCCCCTTGCACTGCTGCTGCTGTGTGTGCACCTGTGCTGCAGGATGGATGGTGACAGCCCTGGGCCGATGCAGTGGCTGTGGGTGCTGACAGAGGCACCTTCATTAGGAGAAAGTTGTAAAGGAAGAGTGAAAAAGCAAACCCAGAACTGGAGGAAAGCTTTACAACCCACATGGATGCCCTCCTCCTGTGCACAGGGTCCCTGTGGGCTGCAGGCAGCCTGAGGTGCCACTGGACGTTGTTCTCATCAGATCTCTTCCAGAGAAGAAGTTAAATGGCCTCAGGGAGCTGCTAAGCACTGTGATTAGTCTCACTTCTCGTTGCCAAATATTCATCTTGGTTTTAAGCCTTTTTGTCTTTTTAACTAAAATTAACTTTTATTTCAGACATAATCTGATCTTCCTACGGTGCCACATCACAAAGAAGCATCCCCTGGGGATGGGTTTCAGCCTTTGTTCTGAGATTCCTGAAAATAAGCTTTTTTTTTTTTCCCCCTCTCCTTGAATTTTTACAGTCAGTCTTTCTCAGATGCTTCTGGTTATCCTCTGTTCTGCATTTCCTGTGCAATGCATTGTTCCCCCTCTTTTCCACTTCCATCACTGAACCCACCATCCCTGTGCTTGGAAGCCACCGTTGTTGCCCTTCTTGTGGACATACCACTGTGGCTGCAGCCACACCATAAAATCCTCCTGCACGTTCTTCAGCTCTGTTGCACCTTTCCACCCAATATTTGTATGGCTCTGCTCATAGATTTGCTCCCAGCAAAATGCCCAACAAGCAAAACACTTTTTCCCCCAGTTCTGTGGAAATAAAAGGCTCTGCTTATTCAGCATCGCAGCCAGGTCCGGAACCAAATTCTCTTTGATGAGCACAATTTCGTGTGTTTAAAGGGCTGCAGAGACTTTCCAAGGTGCCAGGTGCTCACTGATGCAGAATCCTGCTGACCACATGGTGACAAAATACCCTTGCTTTTTTTCCTGCAAGCTCCATAAACCTGACCATATCTTGCAAGATTGCATCTTTCCAACTCTGCCCAGATAAAAATCTTGCGAAGTTTAGGAGGGAAAAAGGTGAAGAAACACTTCAGCCTGGAATGTCCTCTCTCATGGACTGAGGTGCAGTGATGGATGTCCCTCTGCTCCTGGGGCTGTGGCACTCGGGGTCCAAGCTGACTGCTGTTTCCCACCCTCTCCTTATGCTGGTCCCCAACATCTTCAGCTCTGGCATGGGACTGGCTCAGGGCAGGTGCTGTTCAGGCATGTGGGCTTCTTGGAGAGGTTTCTGTTTGCTTTTTCTGAAACTGAAGCTGCTTGGCTTTAGGCTTTGTTTTTTGTAACCGGGGATGTGGTGTGGAATGCATCTCAGCTCCTGATGATGGTGCTCTGATCCCACGCAGTGCAGAGACAGGATGGCAGAGGTGGGAGCAGCAAGGAGAGGTGAGCATATGAGCGAAGGATGGACCTGAGCTGCTGGGGCTCGGCACACGGACCCTGCAGGTGCTCTGTTTCATGGCATCTCCCCCTGCAGCGTGGGCTCCCAAAGTGCAATGCCCTACAGGAGCGATTCAGCAGCATCAGTGCAAGCCTAGCAGCTCTCACAGTGCCACAAGGCCACGCGTTCACACTGCGGGGCAGCAGTTATGGGATTGCCATACCTGTGCCACGCTGTGCACTCAGTCCCTGTCCTATGTGCAGGGAAGAGCTTTTCTTATCCATGTCCCAGGGCACAGCACTGTGATGTGAGCAGTTTGGGCAGTTCCTGCTGGCTGGGGATGCTCTGCTGCTCTGTACAGAGCAATGCTCGGTGCTGGGGGTTCTGCTGGGAGCCATGGGGCTGGGCACTGCCTGGCGCTGCTGCAGCTTCCACCCTCCAGTTACTTGGAAACAAACCATTGATTTCACTTGGTGATTTTGCAGTTTCCAGGTATATGTGCATGTATGTGTGTGCATAAATGAACACGTGCAGATAATGTATCTGCATCCAATGTATCCGCACATATGCGCACACTTGGAAGATGCAAGTTGGTATGTACATGTATTTTTTTCTGCTTTATTTTGTGCATGTATACACATGGCTTCTTTTAAGGGGCTGAGAGCAGCCAGCTCTGGAAGGCTTTTGTTTGCTCAAAGCATCTATCTGCCCCAGGAATGGTCCCCAAATCAATGGCCACCTGCTTCTGAGCAGTGTGAGGGCTGTGCTGGAGGCGAGGTGCCCCAGGCAGGTGTTGATTCTGCTCTCTCTGTGTGCAACCTTCCTGCTAATTGGAGCACATGAATGGAGGGGCCGTGCCCACAAGAGGGGTTGTGAGGCACTGGGGCATCTGTGGGCTGCTGGCCCCATTGAGCTCTGCGTGCCTCACTCTTTTGGTGCCAAACCTTATGGAGAATGCACAGAGCGACCTTCTCTGCTTCTACATAAAGCGAATTCAATTAGAGCTAGATTCCTCCTTTGTGCACCGTGTGCTGGATGCCCTCTCGCAAGCTGAGCAGCCACTGGGTTCCATTTGCACTAAAAGGATTTGGCAATTTCAGCATCGGCTCTTTCCAATAGACATAAATTTTTCCAGCACCCCGGCCACGTGCACACAAAGCACATGGCAAGGACAGCGTTTGGGAAGCCAAACACGATGTTACTGCCCAGATCCATTAGCAGAGAGGGCTCTGTGAGGAGCCACCTGCAGCTCAACCAGCAGAAAGCAGTTTCCAATGACAGATGCATACTGGAAACACCACCTCTGTTGGGGTGATGTGACCCACAGCCCTGCTGCCGTAAGCTGCCAGAGGCAGTGCTGCCCTGCTGGGGGCATGGGCAGCTGTTGTGTGTAGGTTGGCACTGCTGGTGCTGTCTGCATCCATTTGTTATATGGGGATCCAGTGGTGTTCTCATGCAAAAGGGCAAAAGGAATGGGGTCGGTGCCAGCTTCAAGCCTGCTGTGAGCCTGGGGCAGGTGGTGCTGCTCCAGTGTCTAAATGCCAGCCCCCAATTTGGAGCTGTGCCCTGCAGCAGGTTTGGCCCGTGTCAGCTGGGGGCCATGGGGAGGTGAAAGCGCCCAAATGGTGCGGGATCACAACTGAGTCAGCTTTTGGGAGAGTGGGAGGGTTGTCCTGTCCTTTCTTTGGGCTCTAAATAATTCATGGAGAGCAGAAACAAAGTGCAGTAATTGTTTGCAGAGCTCTGCAGTGGAACTACAGAGGCGGCCCCGTGTTACACCTTGGGCTGGCAAAGAAGTTGCACAGATCTGGCTGTGATGTGAAGGCTAAAGCAGGAGGCTGTAATTAGAGGGTTTCTGTGTTACAGCTTTATGTTAGGTAGGGGTGGAACCTGCGGCTGTGCTGGGTGAGAGCTCTGACACAGGGAGCAGCGCTGGGGGTGTGAGTGCTGCTATCAGCCTTCCTACACACGGCTTCAAACCAAAAGGGGCAGATTGAGACTGGATATAAAGAAAAAGCTCTGCAATAAGGGTGCTGAGGCAGTGGCTCAGGTTGCCCAGAGAGGTGGGCATCCAGACCAGCAGCCACAGTCAGGGGATGGGCTGAGAGCACCTGATGGAGCTGTGGGTGCCCCTGTACTGCAGGGATGGGACTGAGGGCGTTTAGAGGTCCCTTCCAACTCCAACCATTCTACGAAAAGCAGCATTCTCCAGTTGCTTTACCCAACCAGTGTCCTTCATGGGTCTAACGCTGTTTTATTTCTTTTTTCCTAGGAACCTTGGCAAGTCTGGACTACGTGTTTCGTGCCTCGGCCTGGGTGAGTGCATGGCCTGAGCCCCATGGCTTCTGGGCAAACCTTTCCTCCTCAAGTGCTACAGGGAAGAACAGGGCTTTATTCCAGAAGTGCTGAATCGGGTTGGATACTAGGAAATATTTTTCCTCCAAAGAGCAGCCAGGCGTTGGCACAGCTGCCCAGGGAGCAGCGGGGTCACCATTCTTGGAGGTGCTCAGAAACGTGGAGACGTGGCACTGAGGGCAGTGGTGTGGTGTGGTAGGGGATGTGGGGTCCCTGGCCCCATCAGCTCCCTTGCCAGCAGTTGTATCACCCAACGTGAGCAATGCTTTAAAATGCGTTTGTTTTTTTTTCTCAAAATGTTTTGAGAGTTGAGTTTAAAATAGAGGGGGATATGCAAGTCACCCTCTATTGCAAGTCACAAAAATAAGTTCTATTCCGGCAAGAAGAGCTCTTCTGACCAAAATAGATGCTGGGCTTTTAAAGGACTTACGAGCTGGTATAGAGTTTTCTTTCACACTTGCAGTTTCACCAAGAGCAAATGTTGTTGTGTGAGAGGAAGTGGTGGCAGAAAAATGCCTTGCAGAGCTTTTCTTTAATTGCAGACACATGGGGCCATGTCCCTATAGATCACCCTTGGGAACACAGCTGCAGGATTGGGTGCTGGCATCTGGGCAGGTGTGGGGTTGGGCCATGGGTTGGAGACACCGTAGTGTTCTTATGCTGTTCCTGAGTCTCTGGAGCCCAGGGTGTGCTGGGGAGCAGGGAGCCCTGGGTTCAGCAGTTATTGCTGCAATGCACAGCTCCTCCAGAGCACAGCTCGGTCCTCTCGCGCTTCATGTCTGTCAGTGTCTGCCCCACTGCCCACTTGGGTAGCTGCTCTATGACCTCCCTGCGCAGCTCCCTGGGAGATGCATTCGTGTCCCTAAGCCCCTGCAGCATGCAAATCCAATTGAAGTTGTACCCAACTTCCTGCCAGCTCAGCAATCTGCCTCACAAATCTGAAATCTCACTGCGTGGGCACATCTGTGCATTGTGTCCGTGAGCCCAAGGTGAGAATTTCAAATGGGAATATCAGAGAGTCCCGCCCTGGGCAAGTGCATGGGCTGTGGAAGGTTCGTATTTGGAATGCAGGAAGAAATAAGGTCATGTTTCCTGGTGGTTAACTCAAAGCAAAGTCAGCCTGTGAAGATGGGCTGCTGGTGTTCAGCAAACGCGGGGACGGCCTCCAGCAAGGCAAGGAGCTGCGATGGAAGGAGCAGCAGGATGAAAGCAGCCACCCCAAATCCAAAAATCCAAATTCAGAAAATCCAATTCCTCGTGAAGAAGCCCAGGACTTGCAATACAAGAGGTTCCCACAGCTGCAGAGCAGCATCCACCACCATGTAGCAGAGCCACCCCCATGGTGCAGACCCAGCATCTTGTGGTGCAAAAAGGAACCAGGCCTTTCCCTCACACCTTGGTGGCTTTGCTTTGTGGCAAAGCTTTTGCAGAGCCCACAGCTGAAGGCACCTGGACATCAGCAGAGCAGGGACTGATGTGGCAGCCGGGAGCTTCGTGCAGCACTGCCTCACTGCAGCAGGGCGGGGATCCGTCCTCGGGGGAGGCTGAGCCCTGTCTTCCAGCCAGGATCTCTGCTTTTCTGAAAGGTGACACATCTGCCAGCAGTGGAATTATCAAGCGGTGAATTTTGCATTCAGCAAATAACCCAGAAATAGTCACAATGTGCCAGGCTGGGAGTTGTGATGGGAACGGAGCTGAATCCTGCTTCGGTGTAGAAATTCCTCCCTTGGAACTCAGGTATCTGGCTGGGAAGCAGCTTTCCAATGTGGGGCAAGCACGGCTGAGGAGCTGCTGTGCCTTGGAGCTGTGCTCCACTACACACCCCACACGGGAGAAATGTCCTTGGCATTCTTCTGTGTTCCTACTGTGTCCCCAGCTTCAAGCTTGCTCTTCACTCCTCCTCTTGATAGCCTCAGCGTTCTTGTAATTCCGAGACATCTCCGCTCATGGCAGTGCTCCCTTTTACACAATAGAGAAAGGATCACAAAAGGTCAAGGGCCCCGAAACGCTCTGTGGCTGTGCTGGTGTCCCCGTGGGGCTGAGGACACTGGGGCTGTGCTCACACTGCTAATGGGGACAGGCAAAGGGCACGCAGCTGCTTGGTGCGGGGACAAGGAAGGGTTATGCTTTATTATTTTTTTTCCGCTGTATCTCTTCCTTCAGAGCTGCTCCTGTTGGGCTGTGAATCATCCTCAGCCGCTGCTGGAAATGCCAAAGGAGCCTTGTGCTTTCTGGAAGGGAATTTTGGGAACCGCAGCCTTTCTGGGCACGGCACCACAGCCCTGTGCAGCTCCCATGTCTCCCAGCTGTGCCCTTGTCAATGCTTTTGGCCACTCGTGTGGCTGTCCTTCTGCTCTTGGCATATCTGGCTATCCTGCTCTTGGCCTGGCACCTTCTCCTGCACATACTATGTCCCTCAGGCTGCTTCCAGCCCTGCATCGAGCAGAGCATTGCAGTTTCCTGATGCTCTGGGGGTTGTCTTGCTGAGCATGAACTCAGCAGCCTGCTGGCTTGGCCTGCAGCCACCAAGGCAATGATTCCTCCGGGGCTCCTGACCAGTGTCATTCCCAACACTTGGATGATGATCGTGAGCCTGAGCTCCTTAGCACGCACCCCACGGACAGCATGGGGAAGGCTGGTACATGGAGTGAAGGTGTACCCAGTTCTGCATATATTTACTATTTATATTTAAAGAGAGAAAGAGCTCGTTGTTCTCATGTGGCTTAGGCACCCGAAGGCTCATTTCTAATCAGTCAATGCATGACGCTGAGCTGGTGGGTGGAACCAGCCCACGGCAGGGTTGGAGCTGGGTGATCTCCCAGGACCCTTCCAACCCAGCCGTGCTGCCATCCCTTCTGTCTGTCCCTGGTGTCTGTGTGTCTCAGCCCCGTGCTGACCTGGGGCTCCTCCTGCCCGTCGCTCACCACCTCCACGTGTGTTTAAGAATCACTTTGTGGTAAACAGTCTCAATGCTTTTTTTTTTTTTTTTTTTTCTTCCTCCAGTAAAGATGCATTTTAATGTATTCTTACAAAAATAACTCTTCTGAAGCTTTAACATGGAAATCAGTCTTAGCCTGATTTTTCACTTGCACAAAGAAGCTTAATGATAAAATGAAGCCTATTTTCATTCTTATCGTTATTATGTGGCACCAGAGCATTTCGTGATAAGAAAAATACTTTTTCCAAAGGTTTTGAAATGCAATGAATGTGGCAGGAAGGAGGAGGGCCCTCCCCTGCACTGCTGGGGCCGTGGTGGTGGCGGTGGGTCCTGGCAGGGAACAGCTCGCTTCCCATGGTGGGGCAATGCAATGTGAGCCAGGAATACCTGTGCTCTTTAAAGAAGCCTCTTTTCTGTTCCAGCAGCAGCAATGTGCTCAGCTTTTACAGACTGGAAAGGTAGGGCCTTTCCTGTACTGCGGTTCTGCAGGAAATCCAGAGTTTCCTTGTGAACACATCTTCAGAATTAACTTTGCATATATGCAAAGGAAGCTGGTATGTAGAAAGGTTGTTAGCGAGGGAAAAAGCAAACCTCTGTGGGCAGAGCGGGGCCTTTGCTGCAGTTCTTGGCCAAGGGTGAGTGTGAATGCTGGGCTCCAGCTCAGGGGGAGTTACTCTGCACGTGTTTCAGTGCTTCAGCACCTCTGAGCTCTTCCTGCCTGGGGCTGGTGTTACAGTGAGCACTGAAGCAGGGATTTGGGAAGTCTCACTGCCCCACTGATGTGTTTCAGCATCTCCAGGACATTTCTCTGTTCCCAATTGTTGCCGGTGGGTCTGAACACACAGACATTGGCGCAGGAGCCTTTCCCATGATAACCGGTTGTTTTGGTCTTTGTAGGGACGTGGGTGACTTTTGGAGGTCAAATCTCAGATGAGGTAAGTGATCTTTGCATTCAGTACCACGCACGAAGCAAAACTAAGGGCAGTGCTTACAGATGAAAGCATGGCCAGCACACGGGAGTGGGGCGTGGTGACAGCAAATGGCAGAGCGTTGGCATGCAAAGCAAACGCTTCTGCCGCAAAATATCTTAACGAATCTGACATTTTCCAAGATCAGCTTTAATGAAAGCATCTCCCCCCTTGAAACAACCTTCCCTCTGCTGCGTGGAGCGGTATTTCCGTGCTGTACCATTGGCAGCAGTTCTGCTCCTGGAGGAGAATTTGGAAAACTCTATTTTTGCAGACTGCGTGTAATGAGCGGCAGTCATCGCTAGCAGCAGCGTGGTGTCTCACGGTGGTGGTTTTATTTCCATTTATTTTGTTATTTTTCCCTAATAAGATGAAGCAAAAGGAAAGGTGCTTGTGTTCCCCTCCCGCTGGCTGGGGCTCACGGCTGGCTGGGTGCACCGGGGCTGCTCGTAACAAGGGAGAAGGCTCCAGCAGCCCTCCGTGTGGTGCCACAGCAGAAATCCCAAAATAACTTCTGCAGCAGGCAAGAGGCCCAGCATTCTGCTTTCAAACGTTTTTCTTTCTTTGTAAGTGATTCGACCTTTGCTGGTATTTCTGATCGCTGCACATCACGGAGCTGCATTTATTCCTGATTCTGGGTATTGTGGTCTCAAGCAAAAAGAGTTGTTTCAATGACAAATTTAGCTTCCCGGCTCCCCTTGTTTAGAATAAGTCACTGCAAAAAGGCAATGCTCAGAACAAGAAGACAAATGTATTCCTGCACTCAACCTCATAGATCTGCAGAGCGATTTCTGTAACCTTGTTAAATTCTTGGCTGCTTTCCCATTGGAAAGCGCAGGGCTTTTCCCTCAGTTCCTCCCAGGATCAGCCCCGGGGGGCTGTGCAGCTCCAAGTCCCCACTCAGGTCCATGTGATGGCACAGGGTGACCCACCATCCAGCAGCGCTGCCTCACTCAGCCCCACGTCCATCCTGCAGGTGGCCGAGCAGCTGATGACCATCGCCTACGAGAGTGGTGTCAACCTCTTCGACACAGCTGAGGTGTATGCGGCGGGCAAGTGAGTCCTGGTTGGGTGGTGGTTGGGCACGAGGGGTCCCAGCTGCACTGAGTTCCTTCCCTGTGGCTCCGGGCATGATTTTGCTTAGGAAATCTCCTATGAAACTTGGTCATTTCTGGAGCACACTTTAAAAAAAGGCCAACGCTGCACCCCGCTGAAATGCATCACTGGTGCCGCCTCGAGCACTTACTGGGAAACATCCTGAATAAATGACAACTCAATGCCTGTCTCAGTGCTGATGAATAGTCCATGATGGTGACAGCTCTGAAAACTCTGCGAGCAAGGAGCAGCTCCGGCACAGCTCACACTTTCAGTATCATTGCTGAGCTAAGAAAAGGGAAAAAGTCCATCTCCAGATTTTGGGGCGTAGTGTCCAGTGCAGGACCCCAGGGCTGGGGCTGGCTGCAATGTGGAGATCTGCTTGCCCTGAGCATCTCACACGGATTTTCTCTCTTCTGCAGGGCTGAGGTCATCTTGGGGAACATCCTCAAGAAGAAGGGCTGGAGGTACCGTACTGGGGCAGCAGGGACAATGGGAGTGGGGAGACCTCCAAGACCTTACAGATGCTGAGCACTGGCCAGCTAGAGTTGGTGTGGGGCTCAGGAGGTGCTGTGGGAAGCACTGGGCTTTGGGCATCTCCATCAGCAGCCAGCCCTCCTAACTGCTCCTCATCACTGCTGCTGGCAGGTGGAGGCTTGGTTAGGAGCTGGCTCTGGGCACCTGCTGGAGCTGTGGGCATCCCTGCATTGCAGGGAGTGGGGCTGATGGCCATTAGGGGTCCCTTCCAACCCAAACCATTCCGTGAGTCCCTGATCTCTGCACATTTATCTCCATTTCCGCACACAGAGCAGAGGCAGATTATCTGTGCAGCAGGTCTGCGCATGCACATAAGGCTGTGTATTAAGAATGCAAAGCTGTGATGGGCCTTCATCTCGGCCGCCTGGTAGGAGATGATACCTCATGTAAATGAAGCACATTAGCATATGTGGTGTCATTTTAAGAGCATTTACATAATCTTTAAGGCTCTCCCCTGTGTGTCATCGCCTGCAACCAAAGAGCAGTCCCAGTGGTGTTCTCACTGAAACCAGTGCCCCTGTTATGGGGGATGGATGCTCACTGGGAAATGTTCCACATCCTGTGGCAGAAAGAAGTCAAGCCAAGCAAAACCCTGGCAAATTGTTACACTCATACAATTTCGCAGCAAAATAGTTTGATGATGATAAATATTTGATCTGCTATCACACTGGAGTCTCTAGATTAATTCAGCAAATGTATTTTTCCTGGGGTTTTAATGCCTGAGGGAGCATTCCTTTACTGCGAGCCGTGCTGCTGCCCATGGATGCTGTGAGTGTGGTGGTGCCTTTGGGGAGGAGGGCACTGCCTCGGAGCCAAGTGGTCTCCTGCCTGGGCTCTTCTGGGATCATTTTATTTAACAACAACAATTTTTCTGTTCTGCTCCTAGGCGCTCCAGTCTGGTCATCACAACAAAGCTGTACTGGGGCGGAAAGTAAGTTCAGCGATGCCTTGTTGCCTTGGGGCTGAGGGCTGCCACCCTTTGCTCTGCGCCTGGCTGGGACGTGGGACCTCATCTCTGCCTGCTGCTGGCTGGCACCTCAGCCCCCTAACTGTATGCTTTGTGCTTGCAGGGCTGAAACAGAGAGAGGGCTCTCGAGGAAGCACATCATTGAAGGTGGGTGCTGTGCCTCAGGCACTTTCCTGTGCCAGAACTCTGAGTTTGCTGCCAGGCTCCCTATAGGGCTGCTGGTGGTTGCTGGTACAGTGGGCACAGTCCCACACTTCTGCATCCATCCTGCAGTGCATTGTGTGCCTATGGAACTGGGGGTCAGGGCTGCTGCAGGCTGGATCCGTGCTTGCACAGCAGTGTTTTGCAGGTGGGGCACAAATAGAGCAGTGCCCATGAAAAGACACGTTTCTGTCATATTAAGGATCAGCAGCATGAACTGTGAGCTTATTATGGTGAGAACACGTCGGCCTGGGAGGCTGTGCCATCCCCACGCACAGGGAATGCATGTGGGGAATCAGCCAACCCCACAGAGCAGTGCCCAGCATTGGGCCCTGCTGCTGCTTGCCCTGTGCTGCCAAAGGGTAAATACCCCTCAGTGATGCTGAGCTGTGAGGTCTGTACCCACACCTCTCATGGCCTTTTGGCACTGCCCCACAGCAGCCCGGTTCTCACGGTGTGCCAGGGATCAGCATCACCACCAGCACTCTTGGCGAGCGGAGCTGAATGGGGGGCATCCGTAGAGTGGGGCCGTTGCCCTAGAAAGCATTCCTCATGTTGCATGTGCAGAACTCAGTGACATTAGCATACGACTTTGCCACTAAGGCTGCACTGGATAACGTTGTGAGCAGCATTCTGTGGGTAAGTGATGTGTCCGACTGTGGGCAGCCTGGTGGTGCAGGAGGGATCGTGGCCACCCCAAAACCCCTCTGCCACTCGGTGAGAAACTGCTTTGCAAAAGGACGGAGGAGCACTGGCAGCAGATGAACGAATTTCACAGAAGTACCAAACAGTGTTAAGGTCAATGTTAGCTATTCTCTTCAACACACTTGGTGAAAACAGCCATTTCTTGCATCTCTAACTTCAGCAAATGTTTTTCAGACGGCTCTATTTTGGCTTCTTCTTCATGAACATTCATAAAAAACATTTTGTTCCTGGGAAGATTCGTAGAAAATAACTGTTAGGATATCTCCCCATCACACACACACATGTATGTGGGCTTTTGGCACCCACTGCCACCAGCTCCTCGCAGAGCCCGCGAGGGAGGGCTGCATGGGCCCACTGCAGGTTTGGGGACTTGAGGAGTCTTTTCCAGCTGTGATTCTCTCTTGCATTGCACCTCTTGTGTTGCTGCTGACCCTGCATTGCTCTCTGCTTTGCCCCGCAGGGCTGAGGGCCTCCCTGCAGCGCCTGCAGCTGGAATACGTGGATGTGGTCTTTGCCAACCGCCCGGACAACAACACCCCCATGGAAGGTCAGTGCAGCTGTAATTGAAGGTTTTCCTGCGACTGATCCTGGCTTACAGGCTTATGCCTCCAATGGTAGGAAATGAAGAACAAATCTTTATTAAATATTCAGGCGAGGCAGCTTAAATATGAAATGGTTCTTTCATGACATCCCGGAGTCCTATATATTTACACACTTAAATGAATTTGTAAGTCTTTAATGGAAATAGGCATTCCCTTTAAATCCCAATGCTGGTTTTAACATTCCTCCCTGTACTTTCCTCTCCGATCCACACAGATGAGGTTGAAATGAGTGTGTTTGCATTTAGGAAGCCACTGTGCCAGCTGACCCGGCCCCCTGCAGCCAGCTGGGGGGGGGTCAGGGAACCCCTCAACATGCCTTTGCCATCACTTGGTATCCCACATCTGCTTGCTCCCTACTGGCTGCACTCACTGCACAGAGCAGCATCAGCAGATAGCTGGGTGCAGGCAGCAGTGCCCGCTCTGCTTGGCGATGGCCATTGGAGGGGCTGTGCTGTGCTGGGGAATGGGAGTGCTCCTTCCCACACACAGCACAGCTGAGCTCTGATGCTGATGGTGTTTAAGCAGCTCTGCACCGTGCTCCCAGGCTGGGGCTTGGCAGCAGAGTATAAACTGTGGGACTTGGTGAGGTTTTCAGCGGGGTGAGAAAAGGGACGCCTGCATTATGAATGGCGCGGTGTTTATTCTTTCCATGTACTTCATGCTTTTTTTATGGTTCACCTACTAAGCCACTTCTATCCCAGAGCATCTGCTGGGCCATCTGTCGGTTCAGCAATATCTGGCACACGCACTAAGTGCTAAGCTACCTTCATGAGGCACAAACCCAGCTATGCTCTGTGTCCTTACGTGGCCATGCTTTCCCTATGAGCAAAGAGCTGCTCCCAGATCTGCTGGAAGCCGTGTCCTGGGTGTGCAACACATGCTGCATCCCCTGTGTGCAGCTGCAGGGATGCGGGTGGCTGAAGGTAATGCAGCCACAAGTGTGGCTCAAAGCCACAGAATGCTTTGGGAAGGACAGGAGTTCCCTCTGTGTGCTGTGCAGCTGGGATCCTCACCACGGGATGCAGCTCTCATCCTGAGGGTGAGCTGTCTGTAGGTCACCTTGATGTGGTTGCTGGTTATGGACAGTGTCAAATCATGGTAAACTCACTCGAGTGGGCAGTGAGGCTGTGGGATATGAAATGCAACTGGAGGAATTAGAGGAAGAGCTGTAAATTATTGTCATGTTATTTCCATGCTTGTGCATGCAAGTAGGTGAGGTTGGAAGGGGAAACTGTCCTGGCCTGAGCTCAGGGCACGGGGCACTGCCACTGAGTGCCAGGCTGGGCCTTTCAGTTCTGTAACTCGGCTGGAATGCAGACAAGCTCAGCCCTCTGGTGCTGCTGTGCTTCTCTCTCTCCTGATGAGCTGTCAGTTCTGGGCATTAAAAGCTTCTCTCGGAAAATATCCCCTTTCTGATCAAAGGAGATATCTGCAGTCTGCTCAGACGGCGCTCCTCTCCCCGTGCCCTCACGCTACATTAGTCCTGCAGAGATGCAATCCCAGGCTGCGTCGCAGATGTTTCCCTCACTCTGGGCAATGCGTGCAGCTGAGCAGAAGGCAGCACAGTGGGCAGCCCCACACCGGGTGCCGTGCTCCACATCAGGGCACAGAGCTGGCTCGGGTCGGTACTGCCTGGCCGCAGGGTTTGGGAACATTCATGTACTTTCTTCTGAGAACTCCCCCTCGAAGCGATGACATTTCTGCCATCCAGTGAGCTGCCCAAATGGGTGCTGCCTCAGACCATCCAGAGGCGTGCCCATGGGGGAAGGATCTGGTAAACAAGAGCCGTTATAAATATCCTAGGTTGGCTGTCATTCTTTTGAAGGGAACAGAGGTGGGAGAAACGCAAACAACCATGGGCCAAAGTGTGTAAGAGGTGTGATGGAACACCCCTAAAAATTCCAAAATGATGGTATGGCAGAAATAGAAAACCAACAGCAGTGAGAAGCAGGTGCTGTGGGGGGAGGGAGGAATCCCCATAACAGGCTTGCTCTGTGGAAACCCCACAGCTTCACCCCACACCTTCACCCCAGTGCGTGGGTGCTTGGGCTGTGACTGCGCTCGGTGGGCTGTGCCTGCCCCAACCAGGATGGCCCAGGAATGGAGAAAAAGGCAGATGTGGGGGACAGCACAAAATGGGAGAATCATATCTGGCACCTGAGAGCTGCTCTTCACCAGGGGAAAGATCAGTGCTGCCATTCAGAGTTCTGCCTTTTGGGTACAGAGAGCCATGGAAGAGGCACACTGTCACTTTTAGAGTCCTCCAAGGGTTATAAATGGAGACTTTGCTGTGTTTAGCTGCTTGTCGCTGCCTGCAGGAGAAATCTCACAATAACCTCCAGATTGGCACTGTAAGCGACTCTCTGCCAAGCTGTTTTTTTCCCCCATAAATAGGATGAGAACTCTCATGGTATAAAAGGCAGCTTCTCTCAATCTCAAAGCAGTGATGGCCAGCATCGTTTCAGCAGCCCCAGCCCCAGCAAGTGCTTTGCACACAGACAGACAGACAGACAGACTGAGCCACAGCAGTGCTGAGCGGGCTGGGAAGTGCAGCACTGCCCAGGCTGCCTCTCACAGCTCTCCCAGGAAAGGGCACTCTGCAATCTGGCAGTGCTGCTGAGCGCGGGCTGCCTCGTGCGTTACCCGTACCAGTGACTAAGGACTGTTTTCTTCTGCTTCCCAGATCCGCTCAGTGTATTTTTGTCAGTCTGAGTGATGCACTGTTCGTGGCTCACATCATCCATGAGGGTAAATATTTTTCAGGGCCATTTTTCAGTGCTGTTTTGTTGCTGGGAGGATTGGATTACTCAACAAGAACCCATCCAGCCGTGGCTTGGCAGGAAGGGGGGAAGTGGAGGAGGTGCGAGTGCATTGTGCCAAAGGAGGAAGATGTACGTGGGGTGGGAGGAAGGCTCATCCTGCATCCTTGTGTGGGATCTCTTCTTCCCCGTGCATCTGCTATCTGCTCCTCTTACTTTTGGAACCATCCCAGAGGGAAGAAATTGATTTTCAAGTTGGTGGAGCCTCATGAAAACAAAGCAGCAAATAGATCTGGAGGAGCCCTGCATGCCAGGCCCACCCTTGCTGACCGGGCTGGCTCCCACCCACTGTGAGCCCATGCTCATGGCCCTGATCACCAGGAGTGTCTGCTCAGGAGAGGCAGGAGCAGAAGAACCCTGGGGAGCAGGAAGGGGCAGGAGGTCCTCCCAAAGTGGATGTCAGCAGGTTGAAGCTGCATGCAGAGCAAGGCACCCAGCAGAAGCCGCTGTGTTCTCCAGTTGCTTCATTTCTCAGCAGCATCTCAATGGCCGTAGTGCAAAGAAGCAGGTGCTAATATATGCTCGTAGTGAACAAAATACAAAATGATTCTTTTTTTTTTTTTTTTTTTTTTTTTTTTTGTCTTTTGGTTTATTTTTCGGCCCTACTGCCCTCTAGTGATAAATTTTAGGAGGAATATTACTGTGGGATGATACTTAGACAACAACCAGCTGGTAAAAGTTCCTTAAAGCTGTGAGATAAGCCTATTTGTGCTTTCCCTCCCCTTTGCTGCATGGTGCAGTGACCCACCAAGCTTTGCTCCTTGCTGCCATGGGCTGGAGCTGCTCTGGCTGCAGCACCTGCAGCTGTGGGACCGGCCCCAAGTCCACATCCGGAGATGGTGGTTGGGTCCTGCAGTGCCACACTGTTCTGGCAGCCCCCAGATGTGATGGTAGCACTCTGGCATGCAGGAGCAGCATGGAGTTGACACAGAGTTCTCTTATGTTTGTCTTTTTCCCTCAGAAATCGTCCGAGCAATGACACATGTCATCAACCAGGGCATGGCCATGTACTGGGGAACGTCACGCTGGAGTGCTATGGAGATCATGGTAAAGCAAAGCCATAAGCTGGCACCAGGATGCACATTTCCAGCCCCCAGGGCTGCTCTGCAGGCCGTGTGTGTCTCCCTGCACATGAATGATGTGCTCCCTTCGTGGTCTCTCCCCAGGAAGCCTACTCTGTGGCCCGGCAGTTCAACATGATACCGCCCGTGTGCGAGCAGGCTGAGTACCACCTCTTCCAAAGGGAGAAAGTGGAGGTTCAGCTGCCAGAACTGTACCACAAAATAGGTAAATCTGCTGCTGAGCACTTTGTCTATTTTATTTAGAGAGAGGAATAAGGGAGGGCCACACCAGAGTCTCTGGGGGGGAAGAGTGATTTCCCATCCTTCCCCACCGCTGCACAGGCAGAGTGCAAGAGCCAGGAGCCCAGTCCATGGCCTAGCAGAAAGCCTGGCTTGCTGCATCTCTGATAGCAAGAGGTGTTAATTGCCATGTCTGCATTTTGCCTTCAGGGACCAGTGGGCACCGACCTATCTAAACAGGGCTCATGCAGGGCTTTGTGTGAGCACCCAGGGCACCCTGTGTGAGGAAAGGAGGAAGTGTGGCTGCATCTGCCAGGACGATGCTCCCAGTGCCCTCCAAGGGGCTGAGGAGCCCTGGCAGTGCCTTACCAACAGGCAGCAGTCGCTGCTCTCTGGGCTGAGTGCACGGGTTCTGTTACAACCCAGAGGTCTCCTGGTTCCATGGCTCTCTGTCCACTCTCTGCAGGGGTGGGTGCCATGACGTGGTCTCCCCTCGCCTGCGGGATCATCTCAGGGAAATACGGCAACGGCGTCCCCGAAAGCTCAAGGGCTGCCCTGAAGGTATTTGTTGGTCTGGGAAAAGGGGATGCGTTGCAGTGCTGAGGGCAGGCAAACAGCAGCAGGAATCCATCCTCACTGCTGAAGGGCTTCAGGGAATGAGCTGAAAAGAAAGATGCAGCCTGCACTGATTTGCTTACAAAGGGATATGATTTTCAATTGGGGTATTTCATAGCATTTGTAATTTATTTTCAACACGAAGGCTACATTTCAAGACAAAGTCTGGGCAATTTACTGCAAGCTAGCTCAGAAGGCAGCATTTCCCAGAGGGACCTGAATTACATTGGTGGGAATGAAAGAGAATCAAATGTCAAGTCTGAATACAAACTGAAATCTCAGCTCCTTCTCATTAGCTTTCTAATCTTGAAAGGCACTGGTAAACCTTGGACAAGGTCAGATATCCTCTCACTTTTCTGGGGGGAGGAAGGAGGCGTGTCAAGCTGACCAATATTTCACCATTTTCCAATTGCCATTGGGTCCAGTGGTCCAAATGTGACACTTCAGAGTCAGAACTTCAGGTGAAGCTCATAAAGGCATAGCACTACAACAGCAGGCAGCAGGAGGGGACATCCTGCCCAGCCCTGCATATCACTGCATCATGGGGATTTTCAGAGATGTTTCTATTCGCACCAACCTTTCAGCTCGGGAAGGTTAAAGTCAACATCTGACTGCAGTGTAATTCCCCTCCAGTGCTACCAGTGGCTGAAAGAAAAAATCATAAGCGAGGAGGGAAGGAAGCAGCAGACGAAGCTGAAGGATCTCTCGCCCATTGCAGAGCGCCTTGGCTGCACACTACCTCAGCTAGCAGTCGGTAAGGGGGGCAGGGGCGCTGTCATTAGCACCTGAATGCCTTTGCTCTTTGCTCTTTGTCAGAAATGCACACTTAGCTCCCATCTTGCTGGTAAGAAGGGAAATACTCTGAGCTGAAGATTCAGTGCCTTCATTGGGGCTGAAAGAGGAGCGCAGATGAACTCCTACTCAAACCTGGGAGGCTGCAGGTACTCTGAGCTCCAGGTGTTTGCTTTGGAGTCAGCAATGCTGACGTAAATAGAAACTGAAAAAGCTGTGTTGCCTTTCAAACAGGACAGAGGGCAGCTTTCTCTTCAGATGTATCTGTAGATATGTTTTTCAATTATAACACTTGAATGAGGAATGAGGAATGACATGAGGAATTATGGAACAAAATGGCAGGAATGTGGAGAGACTGATGATGTGAACTGCAGCAGTAATTCAGGAAGGGTAACACATTTCTAGGGATGCAGTAACAGAAGGAACCAAGACCAGTGTAGGATATGGAGGTTGAAGGCCCTGCCGTGGCAGGGGGCTGGAACTTTCTGATCCCTGGGGTCCCTTCCAACCCAAGCCATTCCATAGTTCTATCTATAATTCTATTATTTTATTATATGAAAATGCCATCTTTTGCCTTTGAGGAACAACTGCTCTGTTCTCCTCAGTCAAAAATACTTTTTTTTTTTGAGCAAGCAGTAGTGTTATTTAGCAATCAGAAAAGGACAAGGCAACCAGGAAAGGGCTGATGAGGGAAAATATTAGGGGCATGTTTACTTTGGATCAAGTATTCCTGAATTATTTAGCTGAGAGAGGAGCCAGATCAGGAAGAAGACCAAACCATAAAATGACAAATGATGCAGATGCAGCAAAGCAGGCATTCCCAGCCCTTATTTAGTGGGAACAAGAACAATCCGATGAATGAGAGACAGCACATTTAAAAATGGAAAAGGGAGATATCGACATGATGCATAACCATCCTGCTTAATGGGATTAGAAATGACTCAGAAGTGATCTGGAAAATGACGGCTTCCAAAAATAATAGTGCTCTTCTTCAAATGAAGAGAGAAGCTCTGACAAATACTGGATGGGCAGCAGCACAGTGATGGGAGCCCTTTGTTCCTGACCGTTCCGTGCCTTTGTTTGCAGCGTGGTGTCTGAGGAACGAGGGGGTGAGCTCTGTCCTTCTAGGATCTTCCAATCCAGAGCAGCTGATCGAGAACCTCGGAGCCATACAGGCAAGTGCCAAAGGTGGGGCAGCTCCTGCCCAGCGCCCGCTGCGTTACATCCACATTGACAACACTGCCCTCATTTTCCTAACTGAATCCCAACCCGTGGTATGTTGCTTCAGCCCCAGTTGCACACCTCAATTAGGCAAACCTAGGGCACCTCACTGTGACTTACAACCATCTGCAGTGGTTGCATCCATGTTCAGCACTTCAACGTGTTGCTTCGCTCTTTGTCTGCAGGCTCACTTAAGCAAGTGAACTGATGTCAACACACACGATGCTATATTCCACACCAGATCTTCAGTGCTACTAAGAAAAGCACAGGCCTATGTCATTGCCTTGGCCCTTAATTACTCTCTGTTGCTTTTCACAGATAAGGGCATTCCTGCCACCAGCTTTGTTTCTGCTGCAGTTGAGTGCATATGGAGTTCAGGACAATGGTTTCTGTGATTGTCTCACAGGGCAAAGTCATTTCTTTGAGGGAGAAAGGTATCAAATAAATGCTTAAGTATGTCACACATGCATGAAGAAAGAAAAACAACAGAGGAAACATTATTTGATAAAATCCAGATGTAGATTTGGAAACAATCCATGGCTATCTTCAGTGGAAACTGAATTAAATGTCAGTTTTCTTCTACCCCTAGGTTCTTCCAAAGATGACATCACATATTGTAAATGAAATAGATAACATACTGGGAAATAAGCCCTACAGCAAGAAGGACTACAGATCATAATGCAATGCATGAATCACCTGGACTGCATGGTTTGATAAGTGCTCTGTACAGAAGTCCTGAGTTACTGTCGGGTCATTAGAATCATTCAGCAGCTTGCTGCTCAGTGCCGGCTCCTTCCAGGTGTGCCACCATTGCTACCAATCCGCAGTGAAATCTAAAAGCACAGTCGATCTCCTTTACAAGCAAGAATAATCTTGCATTTTCTTACCTTCGACCGACTTCATTGATTTTTACTTTTCTCTTAGCACTTCATGCTTGTGCTGTGAAAAACAGATGTAAAGCAAAAAAGAATTTGTAACCTTCAGGTACTCGGTAATTAAAGAAGGATGTACAGATATATTTTTTCAATGAAGAAAAGCCAGATACAACTTAAGGTTTTAATAAAACCACGTTTGGGAAATCTCAACCACAGAGTTTCTTCAGCCAGGTTGAGAGGCAGAATGGGTAAGTTCAAATTTTCCACTCGCTTTTTTATGCTGAACACACACCATAGATTTCTGTTTGTAACTGAGTAACGGACTTAAGTTGGAGAACTGATTAGAAGTTACATGGCTCAACT